AACAAGCGAGAGAAATCAACATTTTATATAGCAAGGCGGACTTTATAATGGATGAAAGTGAAGCTGAAAATATCAAAATTGTTGGTTATGCAGGAAAGGAACTTGTTGTAAATGATAAAAAGTTGGTTAATTTTGAATGTCAAAGAATTGAAAGTCGGGTCAACTTCATACACAATGAAAGAATGTTTCAAAACACATTTATTTTCAATTTTGATGTAAATAAAAAATTTGTTGTTGAAAACATACCAAATGAAAGTATGATAATTATCATAAAAAACAACAAATGCGTATGTAAATGTGTATTCAACAAGTTTTTATTTAAAAATAACATTTTGATGATTGCAAGTTCAAAGGGAAATTTTGACTTAGAAAGTATTGATTTGGAGTCATTTGACTTTAATGGACAAAAAAATGGAAACAGTGAAGTGTCGATCAAACTGGGGAATATTCAAAGAGTTAAAATCGCACAAGGAAAATACACCCAAATAACAACCAAAAGTGTTGGTAAAATAACGTTAGAAGACGTTAATGTAAAAAGTTTGTGTATTTGCAATGTAATGAAGTTTGCAAGTAAAAATTTGATTTTTGAAAACATGGAACTTTCAACATTATTGCAAAATGTCAATTATCACGAATGAAACTGTCTTCATTAATGTTTTGTGTTAATTTTTTTATGGTTTACAAATCAAAAATATATATTTTGATAATTAAGTTTTGCATTTAAAACTTGGTTTGTTAACACTCAAGATTCTAGAAAAAAAAACGTTTTCAAAAAAATGTTTTAATTCTAATTTTTCATTTCAATTTAAAGCTCAGGTTTACTCTAAATGTATACAATTGTAGACAAATAATAATTCGAACAACTTAAATACTAGTTTGGTTTTACAAATGTTCTCCAAGCACTTTTTGCAAACCACAATTGAAAAATTATGCAAATGCTCACTAAAAACAATTTCTGAATAATTTACAATTTTTTTTTATTTTCGACAAAAACGATTCTTTATGCCATTACTTGTTTCTTTTAAACATGATATTTTTATCATCGAATGACTATCTTGGAAAACAAGTGGACGTTTTGAAACTCAATATATACATTGTAGTATACAATATGTACTACATTGTATACTTTCCATGTATTTTATTTGTTTTTTTGTTTGTGAATACAGTTTTCATAAGCAACATAAATTTAGTATTTGGTGTTCAGTGTTTAAATATTCGTTTGTTTTCAATTATGTTTTGTTCAAAAACTTCATTTTGAAGGTTTTTTTAATAACAATAACGCCTAAATGGCATTTAATTATGATTAATGGTTCTGACTTTAAAAATAATTAATTGGAAAAGAAATTGTTGTTGTTCGACATTACAGTTGGATAAAAAATAGTCAGAGACCAAACAATTGTAAGAAGTAAAATAAATAGTTTTAAAACTTTAGATAAAAACTGTTATAAAAATAGATTTAAGTTTCATACCATTTTTTGGTGTACCTTTTTTCACTTTTTTCAAAACCCGTTATTTTCTAGGTAATCAATTGGAAATACACCGTTCTGACAATTATTTGGTCTCTGATTTATGTGTTGTGTTTTTTTTACACAAAAAAATAATAAAACATAAATTCGTAAATTATTTAAAAAATGTTAATTGTTTTGTAATTTTTTCGATTATTTAAATTATAATAAACTGTTTTCAATTGCAGACATTTTAAACAAAGCTAAAGTTTTAGGTGTTATTGTATTATTTGTTGTTAAACCAAAATTTAACGAATAAAATATTTGATATATTTAAAAATAAACTTAAACTAAGAAAACATAATAAAAATGTCCCATTTAGAACACGTTTATTTAATGAATGTGTTGTTATACCTTCCACTCTCTGATTTGTCCAATTTCTACAAAATTTCAAAAACAAGTTTAATGTGTTGTTTGTCAATGAAAACCAATCCATGGGTGTCTTCTGATTCATTAACACCTCACAATGCTATTCAATCTATAACATCTTTTTTGCCAAATATAGAGACTTTAACTCTTCCCAAATTCATCATTTCTACACTTTCTATGCATGATGTTTCTCTCATATTTCGTCTCACGAACATATCATTATTGAAATACAACGAATCAGTCTTTTCTTTAAAACCAGAGAACTTTTCTAAATTAGTTTCGATTCAGAAAAACTTCCTTCAAAAATACAATGAGACAACACTCTACCTTGAAAATTTTGATATTCCACAAAATAGTAAAAGTGTTGAAAAAATAGTTTTCGACGAAAATATTTTGAAAACAGAGTCAATCGACTTTTCTAATTTCCCAAATTTAAAAACAATTGAAATAATTATTTTACATTCAAATGTGTTATTCACTGATTTTTTATATCCAAAATTCTCTCCAAAAATCAGCGTCATTGCCGTCTTCCCATTTTCCAACAAATGTTGTGGGAATAAATTTATTGGTAATACTATCGATAGACTTAAATCCATCAGTCAGAAATTGTCATATTCAATTCCTTTTAATTCAAAGTTTTCGATTGTAGTTGAAGGGGTTTCTGGTCGATTTTTATATGACTGTACAAACGATAAAACTGATTTCTTTGTTTTAGATTCACCTGGAAAAATGGGAGTGTACCCAAAAAATGTATTGGCCACATGATGTCATTTTGGAATGTCTGAAATTATCGAAGTTTTGAATACCTTAAACGCGCTAATGTGTATACTTCAAATGTCATTCTACCTCCTTCAGTTGAATCCATTTCATACAACGACCGCACTGCAAAAATTGACAATTTGGATGAACTAAATAAATTAAAAACTATATCTAAAAAGTGTTTTAGTGTTGTGCCCCATAAATTTGTTGATAAAATCGAATTTAAAAACGTTTCTTTTGAAATATCACATATTTTTCCGTTTATAATTCTTTTGAGTTACTTTCCACTCAAATTTATATTCTCGATACTTGTGATGAATAGTACTTTGGTACAGGCGCTTTCGTCTTCGAAAATTGAAATGAGTTTGTGTTTTGATGTAATTTTGATGTACATTGCAATCGTTCAACTTAAACAATCGTCGCGTGATTTGTCATCTATTTTGATATTTTTGTTTTTGTTGTCTGTTTGTCTCTTTGTTAGTTACGTTGAGATAAAAATAGAAGGAGCCCTTGGAATGATATTTTGTATGTGTTCTTGGTATACACTGTGCGTGTGCTGTATTCCTATTTACGATGACGATGTTGTTTATTTTCTATCAGAAAAAGTGTTTTTCTTTACAAAATCAAAATTTCTTTCATTTATTATTTCACTTTTTGAAGTGGCTTTAAGATATAAAAACGGTGTCATAAATATGTGGATTTTCGGTTTTATAGTTTGTATAATTGTGTTTGTATCGTCATTTTTTGTTCTTCATATTGCGTTATTGGTGTTTTATTTTGTGTATGTGTTAATACTCTTCTTGATATTTTATTTAGTTTGATCAGTTACTGATTAATACATTTTTCTTTGAGTGTTTATTTTAAAATATATTTAGAAATTTTAGGGACCATCCTTTCCGACCGTCACCCCGTTTACAAAAATGAAATATTTGCCGTAATTGTTTTTAAAAACAGTCCACTTTATAGTTTCTGTTTGTGCGTCCGCATATCACCCACTTTTCTTGAACGTACTATGGACGTGGATATGGTTCCCTTCTTATCAAGCAAAATGAACAAAGGGATCAGCGCCAAGGGATGACTTAAAAAGTGTATTAAACAGGTGCACATATAGATTGTTTGCGATATATGTGTGATCGCCTGGGTATCGCTTGGTTTTTACTGACTGGAGGTAACGTTTATTGAATAAAAGAATAATTTGTAATAAATATTTATTTTTTTATCTACTGTAACTTTACTAAAATATGAATAAAAATAAAAAATAAAAAAATGTGGTTTATTTAAAGATTATTATAAATATTAAAATTAGAATAGTTATTAACATTAACACTTAAAAACACCTTCTTTTAACATCATGAAAGTGGTTGTGATATGTAGACAAAAAGAATTCAAATATGCATTTCCAATTTGATTTGTTATTGGATTACATGGCTCGGAGCAGTCTTCTCCTTCAACCATCTCTTCGCCTTCGGGACTCTCTGTTCATGTGGAGAACAGTGACGAATTGGGAAAAATTAAAAAACTATTTAAATTTTAAAACATTTAAAATAGTTAAATTAATTAAAAAAACATATTTTTATTTTTTAATAGAATATGATATAACCAATCAAAGTAATAAATAATAGCATGACCAATTCAAATCTGCGCATTACAGTATTATAAACCTTCATCACTTCTTTACTGATATATTTCTATGCATGTTGTAAACGAGAAAGAAACTATTTACTTAGATTTCTAGTTATTAAATTACTATAATATTACTATTAAATTACTATAATAAATAATAATAATAAATAATAAATAATTAATAATTAATAATTAATAATTATTAATTAATATATAGTTAATTTGAAAAAGTAGTCCTTTCTCCAACTTTATCCTGGCATTTTTGCACCATCAAAACTGGAATATTTCGGGAAACAAATTGAAACACTCCCAAACCCTTGTTTCATAATTTTTACCGGAATTAGGAAAAATCGTTTTTTCTTAATTCCCAAATTTTTAAACATATTTTGTGTAATTTTTTGTCAAATAGACAACGTTTTTAGACAGACTTTATTTAAAATTGATGTTGAAATAACTAGGTTTGTTAAATTAAAAATAAAAAATAGAATCCTGTTATTTGTTTTGTTGTTCTTGTTTATTCAAATATTATTAATTAAAAAATAAATGTGTTTTTTGATTAAATGATTCTGTTCTCTTTGATAAAGAATTTTCTTTTTTACAATTGCAGTAATTTAGTTGAAATAAAAATAAAATCGTTTGTCTTGTATGTTGATAAGATTGTACTATTTTAATGTGTTTTTGTTTTAATAAATACTGAAAAATATCAACATTATTAACTTTATAAATACCAGTTAAAATGATTTTAAAAATAAACACACATAAACAATAAATTTCATTAATAATCTTAATAGTGAAAAATAACATTTGAAAACATATTAAAAATAATTATAAGCATATTTATAACCCAATACTTTTTATTTAATTTTTACTAAAAAATCAACATTATATTTTTTCACGATAAAGCAAATTGTATTTTTTGAAAATATACACTTTTATTCTTACAGTTTGAATAAAAATTAAATAAAAACACTAAAAAGAAATAATATCGTTGGTTGTCAATTTATAATATAAAATAAAGGCAAGTTAATTATGTGATATTGTTTAATATTGGGTTTTTAAAAATAAACCACACAATTGGTGTGCATGGAATACATTATAAACCTCAAAAAAAGTCCAAAAAATATGAAAAGATTCAAAGTGTTTGAATTTCAGCGTGATATTTATATCTAATCGTATTTTTTATCGATAAGAAACACAATAATTAAAAATAGAAAAACATAGAGATATTTAAAAACGAATTTGTTAATCAATCACAACATTCACGGGTTGTTTGTTTTTTGCACAATATAAAACTAACTACGGACAGCGATAGATGAAAAAAAATGAAATCAAAAGTTCTTATGCGAAACACCATCATATTTATTACTCTTATTTGACAAACTCGTCAAATGATTACAAGAACGCACCAGAGAAGTTAAAATTAAAAACATTGGAAAAGATCAGATTTTCGTTAAGTGCTTCAAATAAACACAAGTAAAAATTGTTATCACTAACAACAAAATACACTTCTTTGGAATCAAAGGAAGTTGAACAGCACTCGACATGGGTGTCTGCACAGCACAATCACAAGTCGCATTGACTGGAAATAAAGTCGAGTTATTCGATATGAAAGCGCGAGATGGT